GAGGAGGCTGAGGGCCTGAGAGGAGGAGGCTGAGGGCCTGAGAGGAGGCTGAGGGCCTGGGAGGAGGCTGAGGGCCTGAGAGGAGGAGGCTGTGGGCCTGGGAGGAGGAGGCTGTGGGCCTGAGAGGAGGCTGAGGGCCTGAGAGGAGGCTGAGGGCCTGAGAGGAGGAGGCTGAGGGCCTGGGAGGAGGCTGAGGGCCTGGGAGGAGGCGGCTGAGGGCCTGGGAGGAGGAATGATTTGTCCAGGCAATGGTGGCTCATAGCAGCTGCAGCAAGACTGTTGTTTCACCCTCAAAGACCATCTACTTGATCCTTCTCCCACCCTCAATTAATGTGGTAGCTCTGTGTGTGTGTATGTGTGTGTACAGACCCATCTCTACCTTCCCATATCCATTTCACCCCCTCCACAATGAAGCATGAATTGGTTAGAATGGCCATGCACCAGCTAAAACATAACAGTCGAGCCTCGTCTTACTGCCCTTTGCAGATACCATGTTTTTTTTACCAATGGAAGGTTTGCAGCAACTTCGCGTCAAGGATGTCTCTTGGCGCCATTTTTCCAACAGCACGTGCTCACTTTGTATCTCTGTGTCACATTTTGGCCACTCTCACAACAGTTTCAACTTTTTCATCACTTTTTCCCTCAACAGACTACAATACAGTGTCAGCATAACCTTTATATGTGCCGGCAAACCAAAAACTCGGTGTGACTTGCTTTACTGCAGTGCTGTGTATTGCGGTGGTCTTGAATGGAGCCGGCAGTGTCTTGAGGCCCGCCTGTACTTCCTGACCTCCCTGGTAGTTAAGAGGTGGTCACGTGACCAGGTTCTAGCCAATGCTGTGTAGACGGGAGTGTTGCACAGGATTTCTGAGAAGGCAGCTACAGATGAGAAGTGGGGCCACTTGTCCTTCCTCCCTAGCGGCCCAGAATCAGGATGGGATGGCCGGCGCTCCTCTCGGACCACGAGGCAACCCTGGGAGTAGACACCACCTTCAGCGATGGTGGGAGGGCAGATTCTGGGCCCCGATGGCTGTGTGTGTGACAGAGCCCGTGTGTCCACGTACAGTCCAGTGGTTACGACTGTGGGCTCTGGGTCGGAATCTGGCTTTATCACTTACAGGCTGTGTCATCTCGGATAACTTACCTTTTGGGCTTGCTTTCTCATTAGTAAAACGTGGGATTAAATCTAACACCTACTCTGCTAAGAAAGTTGTGAGGATTAGAAGTCCACGAGAAGTCCTTCGAACTGGGCCAGGCACAGAGCGAATGTTAGTCTGAGGTGGCAACCGTTAATATTGTACGTGCAGAGAATAGCCAAAGACTGCAGTGGCCTCAGAGAGAGCTGCAGTGACCAGAACCACTGCCTATTAAACTGGGTCTTAGGAAACCTCTGTGACATGTTAGGTGTCCAGTCAGCTCCTGGTTGCCTGCAAGGGGCAGTCTGGAATTGGATGGTTCTGCACCTGCCTCCACCTTCCTCCTCCACCCCGATGAAACGAGAAGGACGAGTGTGTACTCACAGCGTTGGGTCGGAACTCCTCCTTGTGGAAGAAGCCCCCGGTCATCATTTTCTTGCTAAAGGTCATGACGTCAGCCGGGTCATCCAAGCCCCAGTGCTCGTGGGCCCAGAACTTGCCAGTACAGCCCCCTCCTGTCTGGACCTCATCCACCAAGAAGGCGCAGCCATGCTGGGTGGGCAGGAGAGACAGGAAGGAGACATAAGTACCCCACGGAGCTGGGGGCCCCACACCTGCCTCATCCACCAAACTGCCAAACCCCAGATTCAGCCAAATAGTCACTGTTTTCCGAACTGCCAGCCAAACCCACAGTTTGGGGCTATAAAAGGAAAATGAAACCAAACACTTAAGCGGGGCTGTTCCAACCCGTGCTGTATCTGAATGTTTCCTGAACCTGCTGAACTGGAATGGAGCCAGAACATCACATCCTGCTGCACCAAGCAAAGCAGGCCTCACCCGGCTCAGTCCTGGGTCTGGACTTACTCTTGCACGGAAAATCACATGCAAAGGAAGCATGTTGACATAAGCCCAGAACTGAATGAAGTTTGCCGGTTCTGTCATCACTGGACTACTATTTACTTAGTATCTGTGCTTCAATCAACTCATGTTATAGAGCTTTGATGGGTAAATTACAGGTCTGGTGGGCCAATTAAAGCACATTACAGTAAACACCCGATGCCCACACTGCGTCTGTCCATCTTGTATCCATTGAGGCTGGAACACATGGGCCCAAAGGTGAGTTGGGAGAAAAGGGAGGGAGCTGAGGCCTTCCAGAATATCTTGATGGGGAATGTTCCAGATTAAGATGGCGGGTTGGGGCTTACGGTGCAGTAGAATTCAAGGAGACCCCTCAGCCCCCCCCTCTTCCGTACCAGAATGGCAGATGCCCTCTGCACTGCTGGAGGGAAGGATTCTAAAGCAGAAGTGTGCCAGCCCCGCACCCCCCAGCCTTGTCCGACCACAGCAGGGCCCACTGACTTTTCTCGCGATGTCCCTCAGCTTCCAGAAGAAGTCATCGGAGGCATGGTTGTCCCCGCCCTCAGACTGGATGGGTTCCACAATGATCCCAGCCACCGTCTTCTTCTTTTTCCGATATTTCACGATCAGGTCCTCCACCTGGATCCCAGGGGAGAGGCGACAGTCGCTGTGAGTGACCCGGCACCGGGGTGATGTCGGGGTCCCCGGGCCCCTGACATTATACTGGGGATCTGTGTGTGTGGATGGGTGCCTGTCCTGTCTGTAGTTGGTGCCAGCATGTGGAGGAACCCTGGACAAGTTATTTAATCTTCCGAGGCATTATTTGTCACTGGGGACATAGAATCTACCGCGTGGGGTTGTGGAGGGCATGGAAGGAGAGAACACAGCAGGGGGTCCAGCATACAGACAGTGGTGGCGACTGCTATCACGCCTACATTATTAGTGCCGTTGTTGTTAGATGACTATTATTATTATTGGGGTGAGAGCCGTCTTGGTGCAGAATCTGAGATACATTGTCATTTAAAAACTGTTGCTTAAAACCTTAAACCAAAAATATCCCCTGGGGTCTTCTTAAGGAGCTCTGGTGGCATAGTGGTTAAAGCATTTGGCTGCTACCCAAAAGGTAGATGGTTCAAACCCACCAGCCACTCCACTGGTGATGCAGTGGTATAGGGTGGAGGTGTTCTTAAAATCTAACAATTAAAAAAAACTAACCTCACTGCCATCAAGTCAATTCCAAGTTATAGTGACCCCCATTGGGCTTCTGAGGTGAAAAATCTTTATGGAAATAGATTGCCCTGTCTTCCTTCTGTGGAGTGGCTGGTGGGTTTGAACTGCTGACCTTCTAGCTAGAAGTCAAATGCCTTAGGTACTGTGCCAAAAAACCCAACAACAGTTTAGCTTAACTAGTAACAAGTATCTGCTGTGAACTTTATTAAGATCTACAGGGGATCAAACTGACAACAGCCACTTGAAAGATTAGATAGAACCCTCATGGGGAGGGACAGCTCAGAAAGGGAGGGTGAGAATGGACGTACAACTCAAAGAACATCATCGATGTCCCTGAATTGCACAAGTAGAAGCATGGTGTATGCCCTGCTATGTATATCCTCAGTTACAGTAACAAGAAAAAGAAAATGAAGTATAAAAATGAATAAATAAGAACTGGCAAAACAGTACAGTGACGGAAACCTAAACGGTGGTTGAATGACTGGGGCTGCGATGGTGGGGCAGCCAGACCCCCAAGGGGCTGGATGACAGCGTGCCACTGACTGGGGGATGGACACATCTGTCAGAATTGTCAATTGAGTATGTAAGTTGGATTTGATTTTTTAAATTTTAATGGTTAACAGTTGTGGGGGTCTCAGGAGAGATACCTGAGTGCCTCTAAGTGGCTCTATTCTTGAACTATAGAGGGTGTCTTTTATAGATGGAGATAAGGAACTGTGGCACTTGTTAATGGTTTGATGCTCTCGTTGAGTGCTGTTGAGTCGAATCTGACTCCTACTGACCCCATGTGACAGAGCAGAACTGCCCCATGGGGTTTCCTAGGCCCTCATCTCTATGAGAGCAGACTGCCAGGTCTCTCTCCCTTGGAGGAGCTGATGGGTTCAGACCACCAACCTTTCGGTGAGAAGCTGAGTGCTTAACCCCTGCATCACCAGGACTCCTTCACAGTTACACACAATTCAACAACTCAGAACTAAGGCATAAGAGTTCAAACAGGCCCTTCTGTTTGGATTGTTCGGTTTTGGCAGGTCTCTGCCAATCAGCCCAACGACTCTCTCAGACGCTGTCTTTCATTGTCCTTTGCAGTCTTTCGCTGCATGGCTTCCTTCCTCCTCGCCCTGCACTACCCAATATGGCAGCCACAAATCACGTGTCACTACTGAGCACTTGAAGGTGGCTGCTGCAAACTGAGATGTACTGTACGTGCAGAATACACACCAGACTTCCAAGACTTCATATGAAATAAAGACGGTAAAGTATTAATAATTCAAAAATACGGATTACATGTTGAAGGAACAGTATTCTGGATAGACTGAGTTCTCTAAACTATCACAATGAATTTCACCTCTTTCTCTTTACTTTTTAAAATGATCCCTAGAAAAGCTACAATTATGTATGTGGTTCTCTTTGTGTTTCTATTGGATGTGCTGTACTTGATTTTTATTTACTACTAAACACCCAGCACCTGGCTTAATCCCTCACAGGGATAAATACTGATTGGGAAAAAATGAGGTGCCTAAGAGGTAGACCAGCAGCCTTATTTCAGCTCAAATCCAAACCTGAAGAGTGACAGACATTTTTTTCTCCTAGTAAGAGAATGGCCAATATGGCACTTAACAACAACAGTAAGAGAATCCTTCCAGTGTCTTACACGGGACAGACTGAAGGGGGCTGTCATGGTTGCAATGCAGTCTCTCCCCTGCCCCCACTGCAGCCCCCAACCCAACCAAAAGAATCTCCAGTTCTTGGGGGAAGACTCAGGGAATTGTTTTTCTATGGGGTACCCTATGTTCTTTCAACAAACTCTTGTTTGAGAGTTATTGTAACTTGCCCCTGAAGAAACTTAAATGACACAGAAATTGGTACCAGAAGTGGGGTGACGGATGGTAAGTGGCAAGAACACCATGCCCCCCTAAAGGGCCATTTCCCACTAAGGAACGCTCTAGACACAAGGCCTCTCTGCCCCTACTTCCCTTCTGGGAGCATGACACCACTCCCCAGATAAACTTGTCTCTTCCTCTTCTCTTGGGCCAAGCCTTGGGGTGGCAGGTTTAACGAGATGGGGGTGCGGGTACCGGGAGAACTGGGATGCCCTGCATTACCTCTTCTAGGCAGCGGGCCTCTTCCTGTTGGTTCTCTTTCACGAAGTCTTCCAGAGGGTATTTCAGCCGTGGGAAGGGTGCAATGGGCCAGTCGAAGGAAGGGATGTCAATCTTGTGAATAGCTTTGGAGTGAGTGGTCGCCAAGCAGCCTGAGTGCACAAAACAGAAAAGCAGATGGTGGCCCTGAGAGTGAGGTGAGCATTTCAGCCACAATCTCTAACTGCTGGGGGGCCCATTGCCCGCAGGACACCCACTAGGTGTAAAAACAGTATCCTGAAGCAGACGTGAGACATGTGAACCCTTAATTTGTGTGTGTTCGTGCTTTCTGATTTATCACAAAGCACAGGCTTTGAGGCCAGAGAGACAAAGGTTCAAACCAAATCCTGGCCCTGGGCAGTTCCCCACCTTGCTGAGCCTCAGTTTCCAAGATTGCAACGTGGGAATAATAATTCCCAGTCTGCAGAGAGGAGCTGAGTGGAATCAAGGAGACAGGATGTGAAGATGGCCAGGGCCAGATAAAAGGAGCTATTGTTGCTGTTATCATTACCCTGCACACCACCCTGGGCCTGCTGGTCCCTCCTTACCCATGGTCCTCCCGTGGAAAGCGCCCATGAAGGAGAGGATGCTGTACTCAGGGCAGCCGGGGGCCTAGAACCAAGAAATCAAAGGCATCAGTCACAGATGTAAGAACTGAGGAACTATACTGTTGCCTCCACAAATGCAGAGGAATGGTAAGGACTGCCACAGAGCATCCTAGAGGAATGTCAAGGTATGCCACAGAACATTCCAGAGGAACACTCAAGCCTGCCACAGAGTGTCCTAGAGGAAGGCCAAGGCCTGCCGCAGAACATTCTAGAACAGCCAGGTCAGCCAGAAGACCTAGGCATTCCTTTTCATGCAGAAGTTACAAACTGGACCCTTGAGGTCAATGTCTAGGCCACAGACAGTTTGCTCACACATTAAAAAAAAAATTGTCAAATTTAAAAATCAAGAGATTTCATGTTGAATTTGCACCCAAATCACAATTTAAAAATTTTTAAAAAAGAGATTTCACGTTAATGTCTGAAGCTCTGGTTTCTCCCAGTTCTGCAACAAAGGGCCTGTTCCCATCAGGAGCCATCACAGGTGGTCGTGCCCAAGGACTGGGCAAGCTCAAGCCCAGGGCCCGTTCTCCACCTTCCTTCCCGCTGGCACCTGCCCAGCTTTGAGGCTTTGCGTTTTCAAGCCCGTGGCCAGGCCCTTTAGACCCTGCCCTGCCGCCCAGCTCCAGACGGCTTCACCTTCCTCAGGGCTCAGGTGGCCCCACAGGCTGTCTGGAGCCAGAACTGAGTGGCCCCTCACAGGAAATGCTCCAGGCGGCCAGAGAGGTCGGCTGTCAGGGTGGGAGGAGGCAGGACCACCTTGCCCTGTCCCCATGGCAGCTGCCTCTCAGGTTCAGGAGGACGCAGTGACTCCTAGTCTCTTTCCAGCCCCAAGCCAAGTGACGCAGCTGCCGCTCCTGGTATCGGTTCCTGACCCCCCACCCCCACCCCAGCTAGGGGTCCAGAGGCAACAACAGTAGGTGCTGAGTTTCTGAGGAGGATGTTGAAATCCTCCAAGACCTCCTCCCTCAAATTCCAGGTACCCACTTGGCAGCTTTTATTCTTTGCTTCCTAATTTGTTTTCATTTTTAAAAATGGCAAGAAAAAAGATAAAGCCTAATTTAAGTAGGTCTGTATGAACAGAAGGAGGGCTGGTGGTGCGGTGGGTAAGTACCTGCCTGCTAACTGCAATGTCAGTGGGTCGAACCCACTAGTTTCTCTGCAGAAGAAAGACCCGGAGGTCTGCTTCCATGAAGATGAGCCTAGAAAACCCTCGGGGGCAGCTCTGCTCCAGCTCCCGGGGCTGCTAAGTCGGACTGGACCTGCCAGCAACTGGCTGTCGGGAGACGGAGAAAGATGTGGCTACATCCGCCAATAAGGGCAGGGTTAGGACGTAACATCAGAAGTAGTAAGTGAGCGTGAAGGGAAAAGCCCGTACTCACCACCCAGAGACAACCGTTGTAACCACGTAGCCTCTGTCTCCGAGGAGTCTCCTGATGCTGATTTGCGTGGCTGCCAGAAGTTTTCACTGGCTAGTAGCACGCATGTCTCCATTTGTAAATGCTGCAGAACTATTTTTTTGCTGCAGGATGCTATGGATGTCCATAGCAGGTAATTATGCTCAGTGGCCTCTGATTGTTTAAAGCAGCAGGCCCTTCTCTGTCTAACCCTTAAAGGGATGTGTCCATAAAACAGGGAAGGACAGGCTGCTCTGGGTTTGCTGGGCGTGGAGCTTAGAATCCTACTTCCAGGTTTTCCCAGTGGCTCCTGGGCACCTCCATGAACTGTTACGGTTCCATGTGGAATCCTCACATCTAATTGCTCCTTCCCCATCCGTACAGGTGGTTCCCAAGCCTTACTCATGACTGTTTCTACACGGACCAGTGGGATGAACACCCTTGTACGTACGATTGTGTTGTTGTTGTTATGTGCCATTGAGTCAGACCCGACTCATAGCGACCCCTCCTTGGGTTTCCGAGGTAGTATCACTATGGAAGTAGATTGTCCCATCTTCCTTCTGAGGAGTGGCTGGTGGGTTTGAACCGCCAGCCTTCTGGTTAGCAGTCAAGTACCTTAGGCACTATGCTACCAGAGCTCCCACGATTGTGTTAGCATGCTGGATTTCCAGACTAATGACCTCCTTAACCAACCAGTTGTGACAAGCTGACCTCAACTCCTGGTGACTCCATGTGTATCAGAGACACGGGGTTTCAATGGGTGCTTTTTCGGAAGGAGATAGCCAGGTCTTTCTCCCAAGGCATCTCTGGTCCAACTTGAACCGCCAACCTTTTGGTCAGTAGTCAAGCACTTAACGTTCACACCACCCAGGGACTCCATGATCTCTTTAGCCATGTCAAATCCAGGCACTTGTCTTGGGAAGGTGGTCCGGGCTGGCCAGAAAGGTAGCACTCAGCTACACCACCAGGGGATGACTGGGATTGGGGTTGCTTGGTCAGGGCCAGGTAACAGGCATCGCCTGAATGGGGCGGGGCCAGGTAACAGGCATCGCCTGAATGGGGCGGGGCCAGGTAACAGGCATCGCCTGAATGGGGCGGGGCTGCCCCCGAGCGGCGAGGTGCCAGGGCCCAGCTGCGCTTACCTGGTTCATCATGCAGGTCTCCAGCTCCTCTTTGGAGAAGCCTGTGTGACCTCTTTCCTTGTTCTGACAAAAAGAACAGAACATAGTCTCAGCGGTGCTCTGGGAGAGAAGGGACCTAAGCTTCCCACTCAAGCTGACATCTGGTCCTGGCAGTGCTTTTCCCAGAGCTGTCATACAGATAAAATGGTGCCTTGGCCAATCCCTCAACCCCTGAGCTCATCCAACCTCTGGTTACTAGGCTGATGGACTGAAGCACAGGACAGTGAGCCATGTTTGCAGTGAGGCCAGGAGACGGGTACTTAAGACACAGATACTCTATGAGCACCAGCTAAGCTGTTGAGGTGCTGTGTGTCCCTCCCGGTGAAATTGTTTCTTTCCATCTGGTCGGCCCTCTGCATGAGACCCCACCCAGGCCAGGGCTCCCCCTGGATTTTGGCCAGCATCACTGAAGCCCAACACTCTGTTCAGTCAGGACACGCAGGTGGATGAAGGGTGAGAACACGTGTGGCTGATGGCTACGGGAACCTTTGTGTGCATGTGTGTGTGTGCATGCACATATGTGTGTGCGTCTGTGCATACGTGCCCTGAAGCCTTACCCGGTACCACATGAAGATGGTCTTGAAGGCGTTTTCATTGGAGCAGGACCCACAGGCCATGGTGATGATCTGGGACATCCCTTTGGGGGCCACCTGCGAGGAGGGAACCAGAGCTGTGACCCTTGACCTTATGTGGAGCTGCGTCTCTGCAGGGTCCATCTCTGGAGCCTTGAGCTGTGGGGTGGTGGTGGGGATGGTGGTGGGGGGGCAGAGGACCCAGGGCTGGGCTGGAAGCCATTGGCCTGTGAGTGGGGCCTCAGGCTCTTCCCGGGGAAACCCTGAGGTTGGACGGCAGAGCAGAAAGGAGGGCACAGACGAGCCCAGGGACTGTGGACACAACGGCGCACACCCCCCACCCCCCCGACAGCCACATTTCACAGGCTGGGAATGATTCATAACAACCAGGATTACAGAACACACGGCCCGCTCCTGGCATAGGACAAGCAATCTCTCCCAGTTCCCTTCCTTATGTGCACAAGGAATCCCATCTTTTATTTAAGAAGAAAATGGAAACTCCTCTTCGTGAAAGCCGCAGCCCAAAGAGGAAGATGGAAGTGAAAGTCTCCATCCTTGTTATGGACCTTAGCCCCTCCTTCCTGGGCCCACATGGCCTTGAAGAGAACCACCGCTTTTCCCGCAGAGCTGGGTCTGTGCTGGTGGCAGGATGGTCCCCGCAGGCCTCACCGAGAGCAAGGACTCCTTGAGTTTCTCCACGAAGTTCTCCGGGGGCAGGATGCCGAGGGCAGGCCTATTGACGAACGTGCTCTGCAAGAAATCCGGGAGACAGAGAGTGACTTCCAGGGCCTAGCGCCGAAAACCTCCAGCTCCTGCCCACCACCACCATTCCTCACCACCCAAGCCTTCAAACAGGCTCCAAAAGGCACTGCAACCCTGGGGGTGTGCTAGGTGCTGCGAATGATAGGTTTTCATGAACGTCTGGAGCAATCTACTGGGATTTCTCCAGGTTAATAAAAAAATGTCTAAGTGCCAATTTCCCAGTGGTTACATTATGTAGTTACGAAAGTCGCTGCCACTGGAGGACATTGGTGAGGGTACACAGGACCCTCATTGTTTCAAAGTCCTGGCAATCTACAACGATAAAAAAGAAAAGAAAAACCAACTATCAGAATGGCTTAAAAAAAAAACAGACAGTAACAAGTGTTGGCAAAGATACAGGACAACTGGAACTTTCACTCATAGCTGGTGAATGCAGCCACTTTGGAAAGCTGTCTGGCACTATGAATGGCATGCTTATAATGGTAAATATACCTTTACCCTATGGCTCTGCAATTCTGTTCCTAGGTATTTACCCAAGAGAAAGGAAAGCATATGTCTACACAAAGATGCGTAAGTGGATGTTTATAGTAGCAAGAAAGACAAATGGCATAAGGTCAGTTCTTCACGGTCCAGCTAGCTCCCCTTGGCAAGATATTGGGAAGACTTTGGGAAGGGTCTGGACAATGGATGAACGCTGAGGTCACAAGGCAGTGGATTTGAGCTATGAAAAGGGATCGCACTAAATGCAATGTGACACCTGGATTGGGTCCGAGAACAACAACAACAAAAACAGACATTGGTGGAAAACAAGTGAAGTCTGAACCAAGTCTGGAGTTTAGTTAGTAGTCTTGTACTGTGCTAATTTGTTAGTTTTGAAAAAACCTGCAGTTGGTGTTGTGAGGTCATAGCATTGGGGGAGCTCAGTGAAAGGTACATGGGAACTACCTTGTACAGCTTTTGGTGAACCTGAGATGATTCTAAAATACAAGGGTTTATTTGGGGAACGGGGATGGGAAACTGAACTGAGCCTGGGATCTTGGGGACTTTCCAGGCACCTCACTCTCTCTCTCTCTCTGACATAATCAGTATAATAATCCAGATCATGCCATCACAGCACAGGAGGAAACGCAAGGACAGGGGGGCCCACAGCTCATTCTCTGGGACTTGATTCAGGCTACTAGAATTCGTGGCAGCTTCACACCTCCACTGTTTTATCTGCTCCGTGATCATGCAGGCAAGTCTAGAATAGGTAACAAAACAAAACAAAAACCCAACCCATCACCATCAAGTCAGCTCCAATCCCTGGCGACCCCACGTGTTACTCTAGAACAGAGCTCCACACGGCCTTCTGGCTGCACCCTTTATGGAAAGAGTTTGCCAGGTTTTTCTTCCACGGCACCACCAGGTGGGTTCGAAACACCAACCTTTAGTAGGTGCATGCAAAGTGTTTGCATCCCCAGGGACCTCTAGGATAAGTAGAGGGGAAGTTAACCTCCTCACTGCAGTGCTGTGAGGATCAGAGAGGTCAAATAACTTGGCCCAAGTTACACAGCCAGGATGGGGCAGAACCATGATTCCAACCTGGGTTTGCTGACTTCCGACGCCACCCTTTCTCAGACACCCAGGCGGTGTCCCTGGGAAATGCTAACGACGCTGGCTATGTGCTTGCTTGGCATAACCTGGAGGCCCTGGCTGGTCTGTAGGGGCGTGTAAGGGGTATTCTCCCTGGCTCTGAGCTGTCAGTGGGCCTCCTAAGAAAGTAGCTGCACCAGGAGAACAAGGTCAGAGCAAATGGCCACCATCATGGGGAGGGTGGTTCTCACAGGAGGGGGTGCCGGCTGGGCTGGCAGCTTCACTGCCTTTCTAGGCCCAGGAATGACGATGCGGGGGTGGTTTTCTTGCTCAACAAAGCGTGGCAGTAAGAACAGACGCTATCTGGGACATCGGCAGCTGAATCAAACGAGGACAGGTTTCTAGAATCCTTGCCATCCAAGTCAGCAGCATGCAAGTGCCACGTGAGGACAGGCTTCAGTCTAAGGGGCTGTGTAGCCTTGGGCCAGTCATTTGACCTCTCTGAGTGCCAGTCCTTCAGCAGGAGCTTGTAGGGAGCCGGTGAGAATATGAAATGGCACCGAGGGGAAGTAGGAGCTTGGCCTTGAAGGGCAGGTAAGAGAAGGAAGGGCCTGGACAGCACACGATGGCATGTGGCCTGGTCGGCCAGGCCTGCTGTGCTATGTCCATCCTAGGAGCCGGGGATGGCAGATGCACTCATCACTCATTGCAATGATGCACGTGCGGTGCCCAATGACTACCTTACAACGTGTGGGCAATGCAGTGACGTGGCTCTGGAGGCACAGGCAATTGTAACTGAAGCCCGGGTGTCAGAGCCAGGGGACATATGGCTGCATTTTTTGTAACTGTAGTGGAGGGTGAGGTGGTTAAAGTCCCAAAGGGGAGATAAGCCCCTTCTGGGGACTGCAGTGACGTGGCAGGAAGAATACAAGCCCCACCACCCGAGTGCATCTCCTGTCAAGAACCTGGAAGACCCAGTAAGTCAGCAGTGGACACCCAGCCTGATGCCCTGGGTGTGCCCTGCTGAACATAGATCTCTGGGCTCAGGACGGGCGGCTGCCCTTTCTGTAACACTAGGCGGCTTCTGAGGTCCTTTCCACCAAGTCCCAGACCCATCCTCTGCAGGACAACTTCAGCCCACTTGGCAGCTCCTGGGTGTTAGTTAGGGCCAAGCACAGACTGTCATGGCCATGAGGCCAGGACAGATCCCACACCAAGGGCATTGCCCGGCACATAGTGGGTATTCACACAGTAATTGCTGAATAAACAGATGTCAAGAAATAAGCCTGGAGAACACAGCAGGATTCAGATGGCAAAGGGCTTTGCATTCAAAGTGGAGGTGTCTGGGGTGCATGATGAAGAATGTGGGGCTGGGGACGGGTTCCAGGCTCGATGTAACCCTGTTACGGTGAGGGGTGGACTAGTCAGTAAGGTAAGCATGGGCTTAGTTGTGCTTACTTACTAATCTGTAGTGAACAATTCCACACAGGCTTCATCACACCTTGTTCACTGCGTAGGAGCCCTGGTGGTACAGTGGTTAAGTGCTCAGCTGTTAACCAAAAGATCAGTGGTTCTAACCCACCAGCAGCTCCATGGGAGGAAGGTGTGGTTGTCTGCTTCTGTGAAAATTACAGCCTTGGAACAAATCTCAAAATCATAAAAAAAGACCAGACTTACTGGTCTGATAGGGACTGGTGAAATCCTGGCGACTACGGCCCCCAGTCCTCTTTTGGGCCTGGAATTGCACCCCCGTGGCTTAAATTCCAGCCAAACAGTAGACAGGCCTACGGGGTGAACACTTACACCAAGTATGGACGCTGCTTAGAACAATCAACCATGGGAGATCAGAAGGGCAGCATTTGCCAGGGAGAGAGCTGGGAGGGCCGGACTGCACAGGAAAGAAGGACGCAGGGAGGAAACGGGAACAGCTGCTGCACTGCGGGAACTGTGATCAATGTCACGAAACAAAATGTGTACGAACTGTCGACTGGGAACAAATTTGCTCTGTAAACTTTCACCCAAATCACAATGAAAAAACAAAAAGATTACAGGCTTGGAACCCCTATGTGGCATTCTAGTCTATCCCGTAGGGTCACTAGGAGTTGGAATCACCTCAGTGGGTTTTTTTGTTTTTTTTTTTCAGTTTGCTTACTGGGTACTCTGTCCCTGTCCAAAAAACCAAACTCAATGCCGTCGAGTTGGATCTGACTCATAGACACCCCTCCTTGGGTTTCCGAGGCAGTATCTCTATGGAAGTAGATTGCCCAACCTACCTTCTGAATTGCTGGTGGGTTTGAACCGCCAGCCTTCTGGTTAGCAGGCAAATGTCTTAGGCACTATGCCACCAGAGCTCCCCTGTCCCTGTCAGGGAGTGTATATCTGAAAAGAGGCTTTGAATCTGTAGGAAGTTGCTGTGAGCCTGGGGAGAGACAGAGGCCAGCCATACCTCGGAGCAGAACCTAGGAGCAGAGGATTGATGGGTGGCTGCTGGGAAAAAATCCGAGTGGGTGATGTAGGGCTGGAGCTGGTGGCTGGCTGGGTGAGAGGTCAGGGGTCAGGCAGGATGAAGCAGGGCTCCCAGCTTCCTGGCAGGGGTGAGTGGGGGCAGGGAGCTACTAGCCCCGAATTCAGAAAACCTGGGCCTCTGAGTCACGTGTTGTTTTGGAAGATTCCAGCTCCGGAGGCAGTTGACATTGCAAATGTGCATGACATGTTTGTTGACACATTTTTTCAGCACCAACTGCTGAGGCATCTGGGATCCGCACAACGTTTAGACACAAAGAGCGCTTTGAATGTAAACAAACTCGAGGCAGCGCCGACTGCAAGCGGCCCTCACCAGACGTCTTCACAAGGATGTGGCTTTCTCTTACAGTAGCCCTGGAACCCATCAACTCATCGGAGGCAAAAAGTGCCCCAAACCCCACCCAGGAAGGGCACATCCATTTATAACGGGGAGTGCGGCCTGTGGGTTGGTTAAAAGGGAAGTTTTAAGGCTGCGGAGTCAGTCACCTCATATGCCTGTCTTTTGTTTGGGTGGAAGTCAGAGGAGTGGGTTCAGGACTGGGCATTTCCTCCCCTTGCCTTTCTTAGATTTATGTCCTGGAATCAAGGTCCTGGCCATGTCTGGACAAATGTGTCCCTCTCTGCTTAAGATGAAAACCCTCCAAAGGTATAAAGCGTTGGTGAGGAT